TTTCTCATATAGACTAAACATTTCAACCCTGGAGAGCAGTGTTTTTCAAGCTCAGCAACTTTAAGATGTGTGGACTTCAACTCCCAGAATTCTCCAACCAATGTGCTGGGGGATTATAGTGACTTATAGTAAATGGGACAATACTAAAGCCTGCTGTGCCTGAGGAACAGCTCAATACAATGGACCAACTCCTTTTTTACAGATGGACATACTGTAGAAAATGGCTACCATGGTGCAGTGGTTAGAACCCTATCGGCTACCTGCAGTTCAGCAGTTTGATTCTCACCGGCTCAAGGTTGACTCAGCCTTCCATCCTTCTGAGGTCAGTAAAATGAGGACCCAGATTGTTGGGGGGGGAGGCAATATGCTGACTCTGTAAACTGCTTAGAGAGCAGTAAAGCACTGTGAAGTGGTGTATAAGTCTATGTGCTATTGCTATTGCTACCTGCCATGAAGAAACCCATTATATTGATTTTTTTCATTCAATATTGCTAGATTTCTTTTAGAAAAAAAATATTCTCCTTGTTTTATAAACCAAGAACAGTATTTTAGCAACAAATGCCAAGGCATTGCAAGTAGTCCCCACCTTCAACTGTCTTCACATTATTTGAGGAATTTTCAACTTGGTGTACAGTATGGCAAATAATATTAACTTGATGACATTATATTAGAAACCCCATCAGCACTTCTATGTTTAAGCAACATAAACAGTGTTGTGTTCCTATCCTAAAAGCTTCTTTCAAGTTGCTTCATGGACCAAATTCTGGAATGTATCATGAAATATATCCTGGGTCAAATTCTGGAAAATAATAAACTGGTGACCCTCTGAGAAAGCAAATCTTCTGATCTCCTCCTTCCAAAGAATTGCTGTGCAGAAATGTTATCAATTCATGAATCCACTCAAAACGTAGTCATTTTCCAATTTATTTTATCCACATGGACATTTAATTTAGCAGATTATCAAGCTGAAATATTATGGTGGGAATTTCTGCAACTAAATTTTGCCATTACAATGGCTATAAAATAAATGTAGTTGAATGCACAAAAGAGCAATCCAATAACTACTTGGTCAAGATTACTAACTTCATTGTCACGCTCTGATCTTAAGTCTTTAGAATTAAAAGCACAGGCCAATTCATAGTAATTAGGTTTCCATTTTTTCCCAGATTTTAGATCATCTTTCACAGACAGTAGCAAAGAGATAGATGGATGAACAGGCAGTGAAAGAACTGATGATCAATGGATCATCAGAGAAAGAAAAGGTTCATTCCAGGGTAAGTTTCTGTTACCTTCTTCTTCGTATTCCTCTGCATTGAGAGAAAAAAACAAAAAAAGGAAACAAGAAAAGCAGCACGATCAAAAACATTGCTTAGCACTGCAACACAAAGACTGACATGGAAGATAAACGCTTGCTGAGGATAAAACCAACCTTTCTTACTAAAGGACAGAAGACAAAAAGCTACCACTTCTCGTAATCATAAAAGAAATCAAGTTTAGGAGACAATTAAATGCAAAAAAATAATAATGATAATACATTTGGTCCATGTAAGAATGAGAAATTTTAACAAGAGTTTGCAGAACAGACTTTAAATTCAGAACTAAGATTCCAAGATATAAGAATCCCACTAAAATAACAAGCTTATATTCTGCAAAGTAAAAATATATTGGTTGGAAGAAGAAATTCACTGGCTGACCAGGACATCTGCAGGATGGGTCAAAAAAGTCAAAATAATGACTAAAACCACACAATTGAAGCCCCAGGCTGCCCAACATTACTCTGATACAAGGAAATTCTAGCTTTAACTAAATTCATCAGATTAAGCTTTGCCTATAAAAACATTAAACATGCAAAACTTGAGAAGACTTTGTTTTCAATCAATTGATTGTGCTTATATCTGAACCACATTGAAGCTTTAGTGACTAGGGGAATGACTTAATGACTGGTTTTTTTTATTATATTCTGCCCAGAATCACCCTCCATCAGATAGGCTGTCATATCCCTACAGAACAATTAATCAGTGAAAAGATTTGCCTCCAGAAGTTGCGAATGCTCCAACACTGGAGGTTTTTAAGAAGAGATTGGACAATCATTTGTCTGAAATGATATAGGATTTTGTGCCTCAACTGGGGGTTGGACTAGAAGATCTACAAGGTTCCTTCCAACTCTGTTATTCTGTTATAAATTTGAATAATAAATAAAGTAAATAAAATGATAGTGCAGTTTTCTTCAGAAAATGTTTTTCCTTAATTAACATGTGCTCATGTGTTGAAATCAGTGGAAATTTTTCTATGGATATGATCACTGAAAACATTCTAGTGATCTACTGTTTCATCAATAGAGAGTTCTTATAAATATACTAAATATTGCTGCTGTTTTGATGGTCATATTAACAGGAATTATCCACATATACTGTATTATTATTATTTCTTGCTCTCTTTTGGACATGGAATGAATAATGGCAACAATATATTTTTGTTCTGATATGATAGAATCACATGATTGCTTAAAAACTAAGATTCCATGCTGATATTTCATGAACAGGCTCACCCTACATATCTGTTCCTCTCAAATGTTCAAGCTGAGATAAAACTTCATCTCAGATTTCTTTAGGGAGATTCTGGTGAGTGACTTCTGGCCAAAGCAGATAAAAAGGCATCTGTATGAGATAGCCATCTTATGCAATGCCATCAAAGCCATTCTTGAGAACTTACACCACTTCTTGACTAGAACCCAGCTAAGGGACAATGATACCCGAGCACAATTCATGTATCAGAAAACTCTCATGACAAAGTCATGGAAGTAATATGATTTAAAAAATGTGGGGAAGGGGTACTGAATTTGTCTTTACCCACACATTTTTCTTCCATAGAATTATTTCTGGTCATGGTAACTCACTGGGAGCAAAACAGTATGAGGAAATACAATTACAGTAAAAGTATAGTTATATATTCCTTTTGTTCACACAAGTTATACTTTAAATTGTAAGTTAATTTTAATATACCACGTACGTTCATTGAAGACAAATGAAGTCAGGAAAAATTCATCCAGCTAAGCTATATAATAATAACAACTTTATTGTCACTTTGAATGTACACCAATTGGCATACCTCAAAATGAAATTTCGTTGCATGCAGCTCTCAAAGGGTCACCGCCTCCAATATACACTCCTTGTTTGTGGCCAGTTCAAGTTATTATGTATGTTCAGGTTGATCTTCTTTTAAGGACCACTTAAATAAACCAACTTTCCACTGAGGGCAATCACAGACTAGTTCTCAAACTGAAATTGTAATCATGTTAAGCAGAAAATAACCCATTCAGTTGAAATCCTTGGGAATTTATTTTATTTGTTTGTATCTAGAGGCTGCTCAACTCCTGATAACTCTGGGCAGCTTATTTTATAAAATAAGAGTAAGTAAAAACAGAAATAAATAGTCTGAGCATTAGAAGGAATGTACACAGAGGAAAAAAGCTATAGGAGCTCAGCACCAGCCAGGTAAATCTGCCCAGGATGAGACTTTTAGAAATATGGTATTCCATTATAGCTTTTTCTAATCCTCTACCCTTATGTACCATGCTGTATTAGCCAGAGATTATGGCAACCGAAATTCAATATCTCTGGAGACCTGCAGAATGGGGAATGTCTGTGTTACATGAGTTGTCAGAGATGTCTGTTTCAGATCCTGCCTCAATACAAAAGTTCATTCTATGTATATCCTTGGCTATGTTCAAGCAAAAGAGCTTTGTGATTTCAATATGCCATAAATAGTATCAATTTGAGCAAAAGACTTTTAAAAATGAACGTTATATATTTTTGATCCAAAGAAAATAAAAGAGGAAAAGCTACATCCAAAGCTAATAAAGTCTTTTTACTTTTGTTTGCAAATGCAACAAAGTCAGCTTCCAAACAAACATACACAAATGCAAGAGACTAACATAAAAGGTGTAATGGAAATGATCGATGTCTTTAGTTCATCAACCTTGTTCAAGGAAGACAGACACAAAACTAAGCAGTATCTAGTAATCGTTCCCAACCTGCTATGCCACAGACACATTTTAAAAGGCTCCCTCACTCTATAATGGATCACCAACAGATGGCAGCAGCAGCTCTATAACAACAAAGCAGGAACACAAAAATAAGAAGGGCAGGAAGAAGAGGGAATAGGATAAGATGCCTATGGTCTGGAAACCCAAACAGATATTGATTTTGTGGTAAATTCAGTACAAGCCATAAGTTTGTGCATCTATGAAAATGCTGCTATAAAACGGCAGGCTAACCATAATTATATGCTGTATCTGCTGAACACAGAATCAGAAATATGTCTGAAAATGCACACACAGCACATAATACTCCGGCTTCAAAATTAAGGGACTTTGGAGCACAAGACATTTGGAAATTCTTCTTGGAGCATACAAATACCGTACATCAGGGGTAGTCAATCTTGGCTCTTTTATGACTCGTGTACTTCAACTCCCAGAATTCCTGAGCACAGCTGGCTCAGGAATTCTGGGAGTTGAAGTCCACGAGTCATAAAAGAGCCAAGGTTGACTACCCCTGCCGTACATGATGTTTTCAAGGCAAGGAGAGGGAGAGGGCTCAATTTCCATCTTTTCCCCTCAGCATGGAAAGGAGGCAGTTGGACCTGAACTAGGTAACTTGATGTGGCTTTCCTTAGATAACAACTAGTAAGAGCTATTGTGGAACAAAGCCACAAAAGGGAGATGAGGAACAGGCTGTGACTGTTTCCTGAATACCCTTTTTTGTATTGAATGGTTCTTATTTCCCAGCAATCTCAAACTCAGTGGGACAACAGGTGGAATAAGGAAGCATGAGAAATCTATTTATTTAAAATTGATCTCCACAATATAAATCATGACAACTCAGTTAAAAACTAAAGTACGTCTTATTGGTCAAAGTTCGGTAACTTTAAAACATTGGACCACAAAATTAAATTGGAACAATGATTTATTTTACAGCACATTCATATAAGTAATTACTCACCCTCTACTTGCTCCCTGTAAGAAAGCAAAAACAAAGAAAAAGAAATCAGACTAAATTTGCCTGTCTAGAAATAAGACAAACTTCCATGAAGCCTAATCCTGGGAAACTATAGATTTTTTACATTTTAGTCATTATTTGCTTTTTATATACCGATAGTTAATTTGGTCATCCCCAAATGTGCACCCTTCAGATGTGTTATATCTGCAATTTGAACATAGTGGTAGAGAAGGTTCAATGTTGTATTCCCAATACATTTGGAATATTCCAAGTCTGGAAAAGCCAATCCATATTTCCAACCTTCTGCAATATTATTCAATTTAGCTCCCAGAATTTGGCAAGAAAGTTTGTTCTCATGCTTGAATCATTATTCTGAGCTCATTTTATTAAGCTGTTTCAGGTTTCTCTCCAAAATCCAATTTTGTGAGCCAGTTCTACCTTCAGCTTTATTATTGCTCTGCCATCAACTAATTCATGGTCCTCTTAGATAACATCACCTCAGCCACCAAGGTTAGTCTCTATAAAATTGTTTTCTTCTAACATTCTGTCAATGACCAGAAGGCTAATCTAACTTCACTTTATAGTTTTTGTAAGTAGGAAATACAGTGGTGGGATTCAAAAATGTGAACAACCGGTTCTTTGTGTGGATGCCACTTCCGGAAGTCCATTCTAGGCCTGGGCAACAAAAAATTAGCTACCGGTTCTGCCAAAGTGGTGCGAACCGGCTGAATCCCACCACTGATGAAATATCTTTTAAAGTATCTTGGAAATTGACATCCTTACTGTACAGAATTTCAGTGTATTTCTTCTATCATTATTTGATGTGTTTGAATTAGTTACTATTTGTCCACTGGCATTTTTAGCACACTGATTTGAGGTTGAAATCACCTTCGGAGTTTGGAGATGCTTTGGAAAACTTTTCTGTGTTTCTTTCCATCAGCAATGTCTTCACAGATGACACTATAAGATTGTTTCTTGTCTCTTCTGAAAATGTTTTATTAAATTCCTTCTGGAGATCATTCCTTTGTTTTCTCTGCCTTCTCTTTTCTTCTTGGCAATTTCCACCATTTCTTATGACATTCAATTTGTTTCTCCTCTTTCTTAGTATGTATCGCTAGCAGTTTTTTTTTAACATTCATCTTTCACAACTTTTTTTATTTCATTCCAGTTTCTCTGGTTCTCTCTCAATGGGGTTCAAAGCAATTCCCGATGTTATCCTTAATCCGGTGGGTCAAGATTACATCATGGAAATAGTTTGATTTTCTTCTTCCGTCTTAATTTGACTCAGAACTTGCACACGAGCAGTTTCTGATCTGTTCAGCCTCTTGCCATGTTTTTGCTATTATAACTAAGCTTTCCCACCATCTTTCACAAATAAAATAATTAATTTGAAATCTCCATAGTCCACCTTGCTTTGGTTGTTGGAAGGCTTGTTAGTAATACATTTATTAAGGACACAGGGATCCATCCTCAATTTGCATCTGATCACTTAAAAGTAGAATGCTTTCTATCTGCTTTCTTATATACAGGTGTCCACACATACATACCGTGTTTCCCTAAAAACAAGACCCAACCAAAAAACAAGCCCTAGCATGATTTTCCAGGATACTTGTAGTATAAGCCCTACCCCCAAAATAAACCCCAATTAAGATCGACAGCCAGACAGACGCATTTAATACTGTATTTCCCCAAAAATAAGACCTAACCAGAAAATAAGACCTAATGCATCTTTTGGAGCAAAAATTAATATAAGACCCGGTCTTATTTTCAGGGAAACATGGTACATGCATACGTACATACATACATACATACATTACATACATACATACGTATATATTCATACACAAACACAAACACATTTTAAGATAAAAAAGTTATATTTACATAATCTCCACATTCTCTCCTTCATAATTACAATACACACTGTTAAGAAGTTACATTCTGCACAGACTCATGCAAGCAATAAATAGCATAGTATATACATTTTATACATCAATAAAATTGCATTTGACAGAAGGCAAAATGCTATTTTTTTCTTTTCTTTTTTTCTTTTTGGACATTTGAATCAAGCAACTCTGACATATTAACCTACTTGATTATCAAACCCTTTGATTCATTGTCTTTGGAACAGAATTTTGATCCTTGTACCTATGAAGACCAGTAGTTTGGCTCTACCAAAAAATGCCAACCAGCAAAGATCTTTACAAATGAATTAACAAGTTTGTTTCTACTTACACTTCTTCGGTGTCAGACATTTTGGCAGAAGGTTTCTAGATGAAAAAACAAATACAAGCCAGAGTCAGCCTCAGTGCATACACTTAAAATAATTTATTTGTGCAACGATGGCAGTTTAGTTAATTGAAATTACTTTTTAAGAAAAATAATACAGTTCATAAACTTTAAATAGTCTATACAGCACAAAGCTAGTTTTGTCACATATGAATCAGGACCTTAATATATTTATATTATATTATAATTATATTATATTTTATAACGCTGAACTCCCAGTCAGGATAAAATACGAAAAACTCTCCTCATCAAGCTCACCCAACTGGACTCAATTATTAGGTTCAATGGAAAAAAATCTCAACTTACAACATGTCCTATACATATATAGCCTCTGAAATCATGCTAAAGTCATGTCTGATATCCATGAGACTAGCCTTCTGCAATCTGGTACCCTCCAGATGTGCTCAATTACAACTTCAATAATTCTCTGCAAGTATATTTAATATTTATTTAATATTTATTTGTTATGTATATGTAGGGGTGTGGGTCCAGTGCTTTTTTTCTTTAAAAAAAAAAGGTGCTGGAATTCACACACGTCATACAACCCGCCTTGCCTACCCTACAAGGTTCCATCCAAAAAAGGTGCCGGATCTCCGTTCTGGGCGTTCTATGAGAAAAAAAGCCCTGTGTGGGTCTATACATATGTTGTACATAGTATGTTTAAGTGTGTGTCATATATGTGTTTCACTTTGAGAGCGGGCAACTAAATTTTATTTTTGATGTGTGCCGTTGTGCCCACAGTAAAAAAAAATGACAATAAAGGTTATCTATCTCTCTATCTAAGTATATCCAACGATTGTCTTTATTGGGAATTAGGAAAGTTCCAGGTAAACCTGGAATCTGATCTCTAGTATGCCAGGCTGAAGACTGGTGCTTTAGACCTTCTGAGCTACTATGCCAACCCTAGCAACAAGAAAACAGTCTAATATTATTTAATAATCTACAAATTATGTTTCTTATTAATAAGTGTCAAGATTGATGATTCCTAATGCTATCAAACAAAAGGCATTGTGGAGATAGTCCCTAACTTTTTTTTCTATGAAGTAAAATAAAAAACTATATGGAAAGGTTACAAATGGGTGAACCCCCATAACGCTGTATGAATGCAAGAGGACAATTTTCTAGGAGCATCCATGATCACACAGGTGGTTTATAATTTATTTACTTACTTACCAGATTTATCTCACTCACAGAGCGAACCTTGTAATACACAATACTATAAAGCAGTGGTTCTCAACCTTTTTAATGCCGCGAGCCCCAACCGGTCATAAGTCGAGGACTAAACCGGTCGTAAGTCGAGGACTAAACCGGTCGTAAGTCGAGGACTAAACCGGTCGTAAGTCGAGGACTACCCAACCGGTCGTAAGTCAAGGACTTTCCCTGCCCGGGAGCGCCGCGCATGCGTGCTTCCGCCCCCTGCGCCGGCCGAGGCGTAGCTGGCAAGCGGCAGAGACGGAGCAGGCCGACCACCAGCTGGCCCAGCCCAAAGGAGATAAGGCACCCGCCAGAAAAAGGGGAAAAAATGGCGGACAGCCTTGCTTGGCAACCCCCGTGAAATGGTCGATCGACCCCAAATGGGGTCGCGACCCATAGGTTGAGAACTTCTGCTATAAAGCTTCATAGTTCCCCCCTCCCCCTGCCCTTATTTATCTTCCCAAGAACTGAAATTGCAAATCGGTGGGACTGATTTTACATTTTATCCCAGGCCCAAACACAGTATTTTATCAACTAGGTCACACAGACGAAGTATGCATATAGTATGTATATACCATGCCCAGACACTCCCTTAGTTTACCATACACAGAGTAGTTGTTATGGTTACCAGGCTTGTATTCATACCAAGACAAATATGTCCAGATCAGCTGCATCTGTACTTACGATGACAACAATAATGCCAGAAATTACAAGGCTATTTAAGTAATATTATTCTGCTAGTCCTTATATTTACAACAGCCAGCTTTCATACCAAAGGGTATGAAAATCATGAGAAGTTTTTTATTCTCACTAATAGCATAGATTATCTTCAGAACATGACTTTGTTTCACAAAAGACTAGCAAAGATGACCTCTCTTTGTTTAGGAAACTAAATGCTAGTGCCTTTTGGCTTATGTTTTACCTCAAAGAAGAAGAATTTTTGCCTATTTTGTGCAAAGCAAACCTTTGCAACTCAGATAAGGATGGAAACCACAACAGCTGAATTTCTTGGGAGACATAAGTACACGTTTGCAGAATAATTTCTGAAGAGTTCAAAAACCTCAAGGAGGTCACTGATAGGTATTATAGGAAGATTTTTTTTTCTGACACCCACCGAAGTCCCAGAGGGACGAAGCTTTAATTAGAAAAAACAGAGCTGCTCCCAAGGAAACCCAAGCCTGTTCTTAACTTAATTACTCAGCTGATACTTGAGAGGACTCTTGAAGGAGCAGCAGATGGATGGATGTCCCAAAGAACATCTGCAGCTTACAAGGTTTCTATTTTAGAAGATCAAATATTCCTGGAAGCAATCACCTTGCCATATAAGGGATGGTACATGGCTCCAAGTGACAAAACTTAATGGTACAATGTACCCTAAACATCAAGAAGGCTGTGCGCTTACTTGGCTTTTTTTTTTTTTTTTTTTTGTACAACATTTTGAAGTTCCACGTGTTCCAATCATAAATAAATAAAACAATCAAGAAAGATATTAATTTAGTTTAAGAGGACAGACAGAGCAAGCCGATTTCATACAGAAAATAATATTAAAAAAGAATCAAAAGAGCCACTTACACATTTTTTTTTAACACAGTATAGCAATAGCAATAGCACTCAGACTTATATACCACTTCACAGCACTTTACAGCCCTCTCTAAGCAGTTTACAGAGTCAGCATATTGCCCCCCCCCCCCCAATAATCATTTTACCGACCTTGGAAGGATGGAAGGATGACTAAACCTTGAGCTGGTTAGAATCGAACTCCTGGCAGTTGGCAGAATTAGCCTACAGTGCTGCATTCTAACCATTCTGCCATCACAGCTCTTTTTGATCTACAGAATTCTTAAAATTTTCCTGGTTTTTGGTGGATTCATATCAGGGAAGAAATGAAACAGACTTTATTTGGAGATCTGAAGCCACTTTGATCAAATCTGTGGATCAAATTTATTCTCCAAATTGAATTGGGTGCTCCAAAATTTATAAACTGATTCAAATTAGTTTGAATCTATGAATAAGTTAAATACGTGAAGCTGCCCAAACATACTGACAGAACCTGAAAGCTAATTTAGGTAGCTGAAAGAACATGGTGATTTCCACTGTTGGCTCAATATTAAAAATTGGCCAATAATTCGTGTCAACTCACTGTTATTATTCTAATAATTATTAACATTTTTCTAACAATTATTAAAGTTGTGCACCTCTGCATTATTCTCACTTTTCTTGATCACATTTTAGAAGAGAGTAAGGTCAGGCTGAAATCTAATATTAATGACATTTTATTTACAATAAAACTGTATTAATACTGAAAGAAATATTCTTACAATATTTAGTAATTTAAAACTTCTACCATTCTATCATGTTAAAATTATAAATGTAGGATCTCTTGGGTCACATTTAAGGCTTTCAGAAGTCACATGTGACCTAAGAATCCTGGGTCGATTACTTCTGGACTGTGGGCTCATGTTCCTCAAACTTCCAGATGCTAAGTCAGCAACCTAATTACTTCAAGATGATCTTATTTCTTGTAGGTTTGTGTGCAAAGTGGAGGCAAAAGCAAAACATCAAAACACATGTTTTGTCTTTGTTTCTTTTTGTCATAGTGATTTGTACTAGACTCCTATATCTTCCTTTCACGGCAATGGGCCTAAAATATGTTAGTAGAAAATGGAGATTTTATAGTTCTAATATAAACCTTTTTAAGATACAGGTAGTCCTCGGCTTACGACACAACTGAGCCCAAAATTTCTGTTGTTAAGTGAGACATTTGTTAAGTGAGTTTTATCCCATTTTATGAGCTTTCTTGCCTCAGTTGTTAAGTGAATCACTGCAATTGATAAGTTAGTAACCCAGTTGTTAAGTGAATCTGGCTTCCCCATTAACTCTGCTTGTCAGAAGGTCGCAAAAGGGGATCACGTGACCCTGGGACACAGCAACAGTCATAAATACAGTTGCTAAGCATCTGAATTTTGATCACATGATCATGGGGATGCTGCAAAGGTCGTAACTGTGAAACACGGTCATATGTCCCTTTTTTCAGTGCCGTTGTAACTTTGAATGGTCACTAAATGAACTGTTGGAAGTCAAGGACTACCTGTACATCTAAAATAAATAACAGTGGGTTTTCAAGTAGTCATTATGACACTCTTCAGTATTGTTATTCTCATTCTACTGACCTGTCATGGGAAAGAGCCCATCTGGAGTCTGAATACTTACTATATTTGTTTATAAACTGGCCGTTCCCAAGAACACTAGCTTTGAGAACAATAGGTCTCAGAATTTCTCACAAGGACAATATGGTGCTGGATTAGAATCACACTGCTTAAGGCAGCTTAAAAATAGTCCTATAGGCTTAAGCAACTGTGGTTGACCTATTTGGAAAAAAAAAAGTTGGCCTCTCCAAATCACTATCTAATATGGGGACTTCAATCTCTCTCATGAATGGACCAGCTTTGACCTCAGGTTTCTAAAATGAAAGGACCCCTGAATAGCAATATAATACAAAGAGAAGTGAAAAGTTTGCAAGGACTCCTCCAGATGTGGCAGACCTGCAATTGGGAGTTTCTGGGAATAAAAACTATGATCGCAAGGACATAATCCCATTTTTAGGATGCGTAAGTGTCCCAATCCAAAACATCTCGACTTTTTATCATGCTCGAAAAATGCTCACATAGATTTGTAAGGTTCTGAGAGAATCACAAGGGCACAGAAAATCTTCTGTTACATCATTGCTAACTTGTATGGCTTTTCCTCTATTTCAGACATGTCAAACTCGCGATGTCACATGACATTG